GACCCAACCTGTGGGCCACAAACCCAGAATGGACAGTGCCAGGCATCCCAGAGCTGTGCATGTGAGGGGCGTTTTGCTTCTGGGACTTACTGAGGTTGGGTCCCCAGGGGGTCAGGACCCTGAGCTGCCCGGCCCCAACCCACTTCTATCTAGATTTCTCTTGAGCCCCAACAGGTGGGAGACAAGAGAACATCTCCTTCTGGGGCTCAACCAGCACCAGACTCCCGCCAAAGGCCAGCACTGCCAGGGCAAGACAAGCATTTCCACTGCTGGGAGATGGAATCAGTCATGACAGGGAGACCCTCGTCCCAAAGGAACAAGGAGAAATACAGGGGTGATGTCCCTTCCGGGATGCAGCTGCCAGACTTGTTTAGGAAAAAACATTATGCCCGTTCTAACCACAGCAAAAGTGTGCAGACATCTCAGAGTCTACGCCGGCATTAAGGACATTTACAAACCCACCTAGCTAATTCTCGGCGGCCTACAGGGAGGAGGGGCAGGTTAGGGAGGTGGAATCACCAGAAGAATTAGACGAGCATGTTGCAAAATACACGCAACTTGGGCACTGGAGGCACCCCCAGAGAAAGGCACACAGGAAGACACACATGAACACACACACACACACACACACACACACACACACACACCATGAACACATGGAGACCCTCAGCCGCATTCTCCACTCTACACAGCCCAGAGCAGCCTGCAGCCCCAGCCAGCCTTCACTGGCTCACAACAGACACCTGTCATGGAGGCCCCCACACCTGTTCGCCTGGTGCCTGTGTCCCTTGAGTCTGTACCTCCTCCTGTGTGTGTGCACCTGCCAGGCCCCCTCCCTGCTCCCTGCCCTTAGGAGAGGGAGGCACCACCCCAGTCACTACTCCCACCAGGAGGAAGTTTTTCCAGCCTTGTCACTCAGCCTTCTCCTCCCATCACCCCCTTCCCCTGGCCCCTCACATCATGCTGACTTCCAGGGCAGCCCCCCACACCCTGACCTCACCAGCTGGTTGCTTTCTGACTCTGCTGTGACGCCTTTCTCTACCCGGACCGTGCACAGCCCCCTCCCGCACTCCCAGTGAGTTCTGAAGACCTGAAGCTCCAGGCTCTCACTTCCAGCAGCCAGGGAGATTCCTTCTTCCCTCCCTAGCCAAGAGGGACTCTCCACACTCCTTGTGGGAGGGTGCTGGGGACAGCATATTCTCCAGTGGGGAGTCCCCACACCTGGACATAGAAGCAGGGAAGAGTGGGCCTTTAGCCAGGACCACTGGGATTCAGATACCAACTTTGAGGGTGGCATCCCATAGGAGAGGGGGTGAAGAAGAACGCTTGATCTTGCCCTAGGGGGTAGATTATAGTTTCGGAGCTGCCTGTCTGCCCCACCCAAGGCTGGGATCTGGGGAGGGCGCTGCTTGCTCTCCCCCCAGCGGTCAGGCCACGCTATTACAGGGGCTTGGGGCCAGGCCGCTCGGGCTCTGTCAAAGAGCTGCCCCCCAGCCCCACCAGGACAAGTAGCGGTAGACGGGATCAGCTCCAGGCACTTCCCCTTCCCCCAGAACCTCCGCTCCAGCCCCCAGAGACCGGGCAGGATGCCCCTCCCTGACAGGCTGTGTGCAGCGCCTTGCTCAGCCTGCTCAGCCAGGACCTGCACCCTCAAGGCTGTCCTCAACCTCCCAGAGGCCTCTGGTCACAAACTGCGGGCAGAGATCTGTCCAGGACCAAGAAATTCACTTCAGTCCTTACCTACAACCCCTGCGGGCCGGCAGGAAACCGCCACCACCAGGGCAGAATGCCACTGCCATCCTCTGCCTCCAAGCCCCTCGACAATGCAGGCAGAGGAGACACATCCAGGCATGCTACAAGGGGATGACCCTCATTCCCAACTGGCCGGACACTCCCTCAGGCAATGACACACACCTCACTCAGAGACACCGGCTGTGACATGGTCACAAGGATCTGAGGCCACAGCAGAGCGACTCCTGCAGTGCTCACAGTGACTGACCTAAGACTGCCAGCGACAGCTCAGCCGAGCCCTGGTGGGAACTGAGGCCAGCAGGGATGAAAAGGGGCTTCATTCCTTGGGAATCCTCCTGTGGCCCACCCACCTGCCTCCCACACTCCCACAGGAACACCCAGGAATGCTGGAACCTGCGTAATCAGAAAGTCCTGGGAGTCTAGCTGAGGGTCTGAGCCCAGGGAAATCCCAGCATAGATGAACCCATGGGGGACGAAGAGAAGGAAGAGAGCCCTAGATACCTGCCACTGCCACTCCCCCAAGTGGCACATTTTAAATCCTCCCCAGCGGCCACCACCCTTCCTCAAACCTAAGCATGCACAGCACGTGGCCAGCCCAGCTCCGGGGTGAGAAACTTTGGGGCCTCCAGAATGGTGGGGGAGAGAGCCACACGGTTCCCATGAGGAGTAGGACTAGCTCTCCCGGTCCGCCTCTCTGCCTGTCTCCAGGCGGTTCCCAAGTTCTGAAGAAGGTAATGACCACACCCTAGAGACCCACACACCCCTCCGCCCCCATGGCTTTGCCCCAACTTCTCAAACCAGCTCCTCAGGCTCAGGGTGACCGGCTCTGCAAGGACCCGCCAGCCAATTCCAAGTCCAGCAAAAGAATCCAACCTTGGCAGCACTCGCCACCTTTCCCCAGGGCTTCTCGAGGGTCAAGATGACTCCAGGGACCCCCAGCTGCCTCCCTGCTCTGGGCTGACGCTGACCCTCCCTGCCCTGGGCCCTCAACAGGCCCCTGTCTCCCACCCCAGGCCCTGGACCACGTCTGGCTGGCACAACTCCCCAACTCCGAGGGGTCAACTCCTCAAGGAGTTCACAGACCAGGACCCCTGAATCGCTGGGGTGGGCCTCCTTTTCAGCCGCATGACTTATGAGGCTCCCAATGTGTCCCCGTTCTCTGATCAGTGTCCCTGTGCATAGCCTCTTAGGGTGAAAGGCTTTAGAGAGGGGCTCAGGCAGCCTCTAACCACATCTGCAGCCCCCAAACCCTGTGACCTCTCCTAGCTCCACTCTCGCCCTCCTAGTCCCCTCCCCCCTACCCCATAGCTCACAGCTCAAAGAGGTGTCCCTAACTGCGGGGGCTCCCCTGGCCTCCCCATTCTGCACACGCCACTACCCACGCGGTGGGGGGTGGGCAGCGCTGCTGTCCCTAAGGGCAGGAGAAGGAAGCTTCCCCACATTCAGCTTCTGAAAGGAAGTGAGTGCCACACCCTGCCCCCGAGATTTCCCTCTTGGGGTGGGGATGAAAGTGAGAGCGAGAGCTACTCCCCAGAATGAGCCAGTATGGGTGCAGAGACCCTTAAACGCCTTCCCCCACTCCCTCAACTTCACTACGACAGCCCCTCACTGTAGTGCACAAAACCGACCCCACACCCACCATGCGCTGTTCTGTGCCAGGAAGGGCAAGCAGAGGGGAGAAGCCCTGTAATCCGAGGTTGGACTCTAACGAAGACGAGTTCAAAACCAATTACTGGGCCCCCGCAATGCCTTTCCACAAACCCCCTCCACAGAGCAGGGCACTCTGCAGCGACCGCACGCTCCCTGGGAGCACCTCACCGCCACCGTCGCCGCGACTGGAGCCACACCCGGTGAAACCGGCAAGCACACACATCTCACACAACCCTCTTATGGCCTCATTATGCAGAGGGGCCAGAGCCGTTCCCCACCTGGTTGTCTGGGCTCGGCTTCAACTGCGAACCCCCATCTGCCCCCTCCGCACCCCTCCCAACAAGGGGCACACCAGCCCTACTTGGGCCCCAGGAGTCCCTCATGGTTAGCGCCGCCAAGGGGCTGCGCCCCCCACACCCCGGCCTGGGCACTGCTGGGGGGCGGCCGGCCCTGCCAGGGGCGGCTCAGGCCCTCGCACGCTGCACACCCCTCCTCGCATGGGAAAGCCTTACATAACACAGCTCTGCACACACCCTAAGCACGCCGCCTCTCCAACCCCAGGCGGGACCTCGCCCCAGGCCCCCTCTCCTGGCGCGCACCGCTGGAGCGCAGGGCTCCAGCGAGCGCAGCTTAGCCCTCCTCCCACGCCCAGCCCGGCTCCTGCCCCCAACTCCCACACACAGCCCCTTCCTCCTCCCCTTTGCCCCTCACCACTCCTCCCCGAGTTCTGGTTTGAATTAGTCACCGGCTCCAACCACCACATTCCTCAGGCTGCTGGCGCCGGGCCAGGCGCTGGGGCGGGGGCCATCCCGCCCGGACGGGTTTGGGAGCTGGGTGGGGGGAAAGCACCGCCTCCGAAGGGGAAGGGGCGGTCCCGAAGCCTGGCCGCTGCACAGCACCCCCTCCTCGCCCACCCCAGCGTAGGAATCTCCCTAATTATGTCCCCCTCCCCACCCATCCCGCTGGGAGGCACATTGCAAACTTCCAGGCTCCGAGGCCCGAGAGGAAGAAGGTTTTCTGGAGCGGGGAACACGGAGGGGCAAGCCTAGGGCGGGGCAGCGAGAGGGGCTGAGGGACCGGTGGTACAGAACAGGGTGGGGCCTGGACGACTCTGGACGCGGTTAGGGGCGTAGGTGCCAGGAGCGTGGAAGGACAGCCGAGGGGGCGCGCGGCGCGGGGGGCCGCGGAGGCGATCCCGGAAACTTCCCCTACAGTAAACACGGGATCCGAACGGAGAAGCCCCTGAGCCACCGCCCCATTCAGGGAGAGGAGGTGGGACAGAGGCCACCAGGCCCGGAACCGGGCGCCCTGCCTTGTAGTGGAGCCAACAGTCTGCCCTCCGGTGAAATACGGAGTGAAGCAAAGCACTTCGGAGCGATTTTCCAACTTTAACTAACTTGCGCCCCAACTCCGGAGGCAGCGCTCCGCTCCCAGAGAGCCACGCGTCGCCTCCCCGGGCGGCCCAGTTAGTTCCAAACTAAATTATCACAGTGACACCCCCAACTACGCGCCCCACCGGAGCCCCGCAACCCGCCTCCCCCCACCCGCCGTTGGTGGCCCGGCCCCCGACTGCGCCCAGATGCGCCTGGCGCCCCTACCTGCGAGCTCAGCCCCAGGGCACAGCCATAGCCGGCGCGGGGCCTGAGGCTGCGGTGCTGCGGCTGCTGGCAGTGACGAGCCCCGGTCCGGGCGGGTCTGGCAGGGCGGGCGGTGCAGTCCCCGCGGCAGAGCAGCTCCAAGTGGCCGGTCCCCCGTGCGCGGAGGCGGCTCTTGTAACTCCGGCTCCGGCGGGCGGGTGTGCCCGGAGCTGTAGGGAGAGGGCGGGGCCGGGCGGGGCCCGAGCGGGGCTGGGACTGGCGAGCGGGGCCGACCCTGGAGGGACCCGGGAGGGGACTACTAGGGAGGGGGGCCATTGGGGGACGCGGGGACGTTGCTTTGCCCCCTGCCGCCATCCACTGCCCCCGTCCTATCTCGAATCTCGATCTGCTCACTGGCCAGAAACTCCTGCAGGCTCCCTGGGCTCACCCTCACAGCTGGAACTGCGTATCCACTTATTTTGCAGGAAGGGCCTGGGGGCTCTGAAGGCGGCTGGGGGCTTGGGTGATTCCGCCGCAACCTCCAGCAGGATACGGACCTTTGAGTTTTCTCTCAGCTTAGGCAACCACACTTCAAATCCCAGGCCCCAGCCTCCTCGCTTGGTTCCCAAACTCCATGCAGCCGCGCCCATTTCTCGCGTTCACTCTTTCTGGGGGCCCCTCAGTCCCTACCCACGCAGAACCGGCCTGGATTCCCACCCCCAGGAGCCGGGGTCACCAGTGCCCCGCGCACCGCCCTGCTGCGCAGGCCGTGGGCTAACGGGAGTGAGGCCCGCAGGCGTTGGAGAGCGGACCTGACGCCCACCTTCCTCTCCAGACTCCCGCCTCCAGGAGCCGGAGCCCCAGCGCTTCCTCTGCCTCCTATTCCTTCTCCACACCCCTCTACGCGCCCCTCCCCCACCTCCCCGCTCGCGGGACACTAAGTCTCCCATTTACAGCAATTTCCCACAGCCACTTCTAACTACAGGGAGATTTTATTAAACGCTTAATGACGGGGTGCGGGGCCTTCTGGCTACACGCTCCCTCCCCTCCACACTCCCTTTCTCTTCTCCCCCAGGAGTCCTCTTATCCTCCCTCCTAGGTGGCCACCCACGGCCCACTCCAAGCCAGTGTCCCCTCCTTTCCAAAAGCTGGGAAAGAGAGACTGCAGGCTGGGGAACTGAGGAGATCTGGCCCAGGCAGGAGCACCCTTCTTGCTGCAAGATCATGAGTGGGCTGGAGCTGAGACCAGCTCGGCCCTGTCCTCTGAAATGGCAAACATGTTTACAGGCTAAAAATACTCAGCAGTCAATTCTGCTGCCAACCCTGGGGGCTGTGTCCAGGTCCAGTTACCGGCACAGGGTACAGGCTGTGGGGGAGGGAAGACACAGCCCGAGGAGCCACAGACATGGGCACTCATATAATGGACACAGAAAGGTGGAGCCGCATGTGTAGACATCTAGACAGGCAGAGACAAGTGAAAACACAAAGCAGAGGCGGGCACCAGCATTTTCTCTCGCTCTCTCTAACACACACACACAGGTGCCCAGATCATGACTCAACCCCAAGGCACAGGCAGCCCCGCCACAACACATCCCAAGCACACATAGACCCAGACTTTCCCAAGAATCACCTTCTCCCCATTTTGTTCTGCACCCCTTATTTAAAGAGCACCTACATTATTTAAAGGAAAAAATCTAAGCTTTGGAACTATGAAACGCTCTAGGAAAAAAAAAACAAAAAACAAAAACACCAAGGTCAGGTACGATGGCTCACGCCTGTAATCCCGGCACTTTGGGAAGCCAAGGCAGATGGATCACTTAAGCTCAGGAGTTCGAGACCAGCCTAGCCAACATGGTAAAACCCCACCTCCACTAAAAATACAAAAATTAGCGAGGAATTGTGGCGCATGCCTGTAATCCTAGCTACTCAGGAGGCTGAGGCAGGAGAATCCCTTGAACTTCCGAGGCAGAAGTTGCAGTGAGCCAAGATTTCACCACTGCACTCCAGCCTGGGGGACAGACTCCATCTCAAAAAAAAGAAAAGTACAAAACGTAGACGTCTCTCTCCTCCCCTGTCCCAGTCCCTCTCCCCAAAAGTAACCATTGCTAACAATTTACCAAAGGATTTTTAATTTTATGAATGAATCATCATTTGGTTCCTTGAAAGAGCAAATGTTCCAATGTTCCCAGTGCATATTAAAATAGAGGATGAGCCAGACACGGTGGCTCACACCTGTAATCCCAACACTTTGGGAGGCTAAGGCAGGCAGATCACGAGGTCAGGAGATCGAGACCACCTGGCTAACACGGTGAAATTCCATCTCTACTAAAAATACAAAGAAATTAGCTGGGCGTGGTGGCACACACCTGTAGTCCCAGCTACTCGGAAGGCTGAGGCAGGAGAATCGCTTGAATCCATGAGGTGGAGGTTGCAGTGAGCCAAGATCTTGCCACTGCACTCCAACCTGGGCAACAGAGTGAGACTCCGTCTCAAAAAAAAGGCTGGGCACAGTGGCTCACGCCATGGTGAAACCCTGTTTCTACTAAAATAGAAAAAATTAGCTGGGCATGGTGGCGCACGCCTGTAGTCCCAGCTACTCAGGAGGCTGAGGCAGGAGAATCACTTGAATCCAGGAGATGGCGGTTGCAGTGAGCCGATATCGTGCCACTGCACTCCAGCCTGGCAAAAGAGCAAGAGTCTGTCTCCAAAAAATAAAAAGAAAGAAAAATCGGCTGGGCATGGTGGCTAACACCTGTAATCCAAGCACTTTGGAGGCCAAGGTGGGCAGATCACCTGAGGTCGGGAGTTCAAGACCAGCCTGACCAACATGGTGAAACCCCGTCTTAAAAAAAAAAAAAGAAAAAGAAACAGGAGATGATTTACACCTAGGTTGGAAACACAGGCTATCTGCAAAAATGGAAATGGGGATTTGGGGGAGCTGCTGGGACAGAAAAGGAAGAAGAGAGTGGAAAGGCGTGGACACTGCGCCTTCGCCTTGACTGGATCAAATAGCAGAGGCCAGAGTCCCAGGCTCAGAGCCAACTTATCTGCTCCATTGTTTGTTCTGGCCACCCTCTTGGTCAACAGGGAAGAAGGCAGGAGGGAGGAGTTGGTTTTTGAAGCAGCCCCAGAGCAGAGATCACTGTCCAAGTACTTCATTCAGGGGTATGAGAATCAAGATTACCTAGTGAGGGGTAGTTCTGGGTTGGCTCTTGCCCCATTCAACTGGAAGGCTGGAGAAGGCTTAACCTCAACCCTACCCTCTAAAAAAAACATGATCCGGGCTGGGCGTGGTGGCTCACACCTGTAATCCCAGCACTTTGAGAGGCTGATGCAGACGGATCACAAGGTCAAGAGATCAAGACCATCCTGGCCAACATGGTGAAACCCCATCTCTACTAAAAATACCAAAATTAGTCCAGGCGTGGTGGCTCATGCCTGTAATCCCAGCACTTTGGGAGGCCAAGGCAGGTGGATCACCTGAGGTCAGGAGTTTGAGACCAGTCTGTCCAACATGGTGAAACCCCATCTCTAAAAAAAATAATAATAATAAATACCAAAATCAGCCAGATGTAGTGCCTCGTGCTTGTAGTCCCAGCTACTCAGGAGGCTGAGGCAGGAGACTCACTTGAACTCGGGAGGCACAGGTTGCAGTGAACCAAGATTGAGCCACTGCACTCCAGCCCGGTGACAGAGCAAGATTCTATCTCAAAAATGAAAAGAAGAGAGAGAGAGAGAGAGAGAGGAAGGGAGGGAGGGAGGAAGGAAAGGAGGGAGGGAGGGAGGGAGAGAGAGAAAGAAGAAAGAAAGAAAAGAAAAAGGCCGGGCGCGGTGGCTCAAGCCTGTAATCCCAGCACTTTGGGAGGCCGAGGCAGGTGGATCACGAGGTCAAGAGATCGAGACCATCCTGGTCAACATGGTGAAACCCCGTCTCTACTAAAAATACAAAAAAATTAGCTGGGCATGGTGGCGCTTGCCTGTAATCCCAGCTACTCAGGAGGCTGAGGCAGGAGAATTGCCTGAACCCAGGCTGCAGTGCAATGGCACGATCTCGGCTCACCGCAACCTCCGCCTCCTGGGTTCAGGCAATTCTCCTGCCTCAGCCTCCTGAGTAGCTGGGATTACAGGCAAGCGCCACCATGCCCAGCTACTCAGGAGGCTGAGGCAGGAGAATTGCCTGAACCCAGGAGGCGGAGGTTGCGGTGAGCCGAGATCGTGCCATTGCACTCCAGCCTGGGTAACAAGAGCGAAACTCCGTCTCTCCAAAAAAAAAAAAAAAAAAAAGGAAAGAAGGAAAGAAAGAAAGAGAGAGAGAGAAAGAAAGAAAGAGAAGAAAAGAAAGAAAAAAAGAAAGAAAAGAACCATGATCCTGCAGGCTGGAACAGAGCTGGGGTTTCCTAAGACTGCCTCCTCAGCCCAGGGGAGGGGAATATTTTCAAAAGTTTCAGTGGTGTAAGTGGAGACACTTTTAGAAACTTCTGCCAACTCCTCTCCTTCTGCCCACTGATGTAGCCTCCCCCACACTCCCTCCCAAAACTACCTTCATAATGATTGTGTCTGATCCTGCAGCAGCTAGTTCGCTGGTTTTTTGTTTTGTTTTGTTTTGTTTTGTGAGATGGAGTCATGCTGTGTCACCAAGCCTGGAGTACAGTTGCTCGTTGCTCGATCTCAGCTCACTGCAACCTCCGCCTCCTGGGTTCAAGTGATTCTCTTGCCTCAGTCTCCTGAGTAGCTGGACTACAGGTCCCCGCCACCACATCTGGCTAATTTTTGTATTTTTTGGTAGAGATGGGGTTTCACCATGTTGGTTAGACTATTCTCAAACTCCTGACCTCAGGTGATCGCCGTCCACTTCAGCCCCTCAAAGTGCTGGGATTATAGGAGTGAGCCACTTCACCAGGTGCTACTTTCATCTGTCAGCTCATTTAATCCTTGCACACCCTGGGAGGGAGGCACTTAGTGAGGAACGGTCTCAGAGAGGGTTCATGATTTACCTAAAATTACACAACTCACAGAAGCAAGAGTCAAAACTTCCACTAGCATTTAAGCCTCATGATGGCAGGGTTCGCTTTTCTCTGCTGTATGCTTTGTGCCTAGATTAATTGAGGGATTTTTTTTTTTTTTTTTTTTTTTTTTTGGAGACAGCCTCACTCTGTCGCCCAGGATGGAATGCAGTGGCACATTCATGGCTCACGGCAGCCTCAGCCTCCTGAGC